GCATGGTCTGTAAATTGCGTGTAATGTCTGGAGGTAGTTCGCCACTGAGCTGCAAACGCGCACATCCCCACGAATGAACCGTTCAGAAATCTGGCTCCTCGGTAGCCAGTTTGTGTGGCAAGCTGTGCTAGTTGGGGTGCGGAGACTGTGACTTGCGCCCACAAACCACTACAGGGAGAGACTGGTACATGACAAGCAACATCGCAAACAAAGTGCTAGGCCGAAATGATATCGTGCATTCATTCCCATGGTGAGAAGGCAGAAGACGTATTGTACGCTGAGGTTCCGAATGAAGTTCGGCTTATAGCAGCCCATGCCGCTGGTCCGCACCCCTGGCACAGGCAATGGTGACCCTGACCTTGTCTATCCTTCTCTGCAAACTCACTGCTCCACGAGAAGCGGGTCAGCTGTCTTCCGTACCCTGCACATCTCCCTGCCTAGGAAGCAGCCGGTCTCATTCACCTGGAAGATGGAACACAAAGTCCTGACTCACACTTGCTTTCGTCATGACATGCGTCGAGGTGAAAGGCCAATATCCGCAGAATCATTGACGGTCCTCTCTTCGCAAATGGAGCGGCAGGTCTTGTACAAGGGCACCTGCGGTACAGGGCAAGCCATAGCATCGAAGCTAGCCCCTAACATCTCTCCCGACGCTATTGGGTCTACGGAGATGCGGTGTAAGCCCAGGTAGCGTGAAAAGGGTCTTTGCGAAGGATATCACTCAAAGCGGAAGATGCCACCCATCCTACTGTAGTAGGTCCCTTGGGTCATGTAATTAATTCACGCCCCTTCATTGCAAATTCCTTTTCCAAGGGCATTGGTGAATGAAGAATAGATATTACACAGCACATGCTCAAATCTGCGCTTCGGGATGGGTACCATGTCCTCCTGTCAGTACTCTGACTATTGTCCAACTTGGATGTTGCTTTACGACATCACTGGGTAGGCGGTGCGTCAGGTTTCAGGGTTTTCAATAATTAGTGTGGAGGCGTCCGGGTGACACCTCCAGCAGCCCTGCGGACTTTACGTGGCCTCGTCACAGTCTCTGTTCCCTTCTTTCTACGCCCAGCGAAATTCCGCTATGCATTCCAAGGACTTCAAGTCTTCGTGCTGCAGAGCCACAACGACCTCCTGGAGATTCTCACACCTTCCAGCCAAGCCGGTGCTCAGATTCTGCAGAACCTGTCTCTGGGCTGAGGCCGGCTGATGCTTATCACTTACCCAATCTCAGGGACGTGAGAGCGCAGTTCTTAAATGCTTTGGTGGGCTGTTGATGACTACTTGCTCAGCAGCAGATGACCCTTTTCAACTGTTCGGCTTGGCTTCCATAGGTCCGCTTGTCCAGTTTTCTTCCCACTGAGCTTTGTGTAGCAAAGCCACTTGTGTTTGCCCGCCTGCACAGTCGGGCAACTTTCAAACAGCCGGCGCTTGTAATCGACCTCAGGACCCCAAACATGGCATGCCAGCATGAGCTGCCTCGATTTCACCACAGACTTAGGCAAGGTGCTGGCCAGCATTCGAAAGGACTGGGAACCTTAGTAGGGTTCTGTGTACATTTAAGTCTTACACAGTCAGTGCAAGCGTTCCCGCAGGACCAAACCAAAGGGCTACTGGTAGCTGAAAAGTCCCTGCCCGGCGAAGGAGGAGACAAATCATAAATCAAGCCCAGGAACATGCCCAGATGGCCACGCCTCCACAAAAACTGCTGCTATTCGGAGACTGAGCAAATTTGCAGGAGAGTGTCAGGAAATGCAGAGTTGGCAAGAAAGCTCTTATCATGCACGTCGCATGTTGTGGTTGTAATGCCCGCAGCTGCCTTCCTCGATGCTTCAGGCACATCTCCAGGGAAGCCCGGCCCAGGCCTGGGGTCGATTGCGTCTGTGAAGCGGTGTCAATATTTCTGACCGCTTAGAGGGAGGACGACGAACGCATTCCAGTTCCCTAACATCTCTGGGAAACTAAACGAGGCCGCGGCAGCTCTCGGCAGCTCGCCATGATCTGGAGCAGTGGGCTTGTGCACGTTCGCATGCTGTGCAAGAATCTATCTTGAGAGTAGCGCCTCCGTGCTGGGAAGCTTGGAGCTAAAGGAAAAAGAGATCATCAAATCCGTCAAGAACCGCAAGGCTTCCCTGCAATCCCAACCTTGGAGCACTCCCGGGGACCTGCGGTCGCCTCATACTCCTACAGACACGGCGGTAGATATGATGCTTCACAGCTTCCTGCCACCGCAAAGATTGTAGGTCATCAGGTAATGACTGGGTACGTGCAGGGGGGCTAGAGCGTGTTAGAGCTGATATTGATGTTCTTTTGTTTGGATCCCATTCTCCTGTATTGTTGTCGCACCTTCTCCGGCCAGAATGCAATCAAAGTTGGCATAAAATGTGAAGTACCTGTGGACTGTTCTGCTTGCATTTCTGCAGACACAACTACCCAGCAGCTACCCACTTCTCGCTCAGTCTTCTTCTGAGGGCACTTGCACCGTGCCTCGTTGGCACACCTGCAGCAATGTATGCTTCTGAACACCCCAGATGAATGTGGATAAGTTTGAGTTGCCACTAGTGTCATGCCGCCCTTCCCGACCCGGCGCTAAACATGCAAATATGCCAACGGTGAACATCACCTTCAGAACAGAACCCTTTCTCAATACTTAGCCACAAGCCTCCTTTGGCACGCGAGGATGTCGGTTTCCCGTGAGGGCAGAGCGAAGGGCAACGAAGGGACGTATTTCCTTCCAGGTAGACGAATCTAGTCGCAAGGGCCGGCAGACTTTGTGCTCCTGTACTTGTGAAGAAGGTTTTTTCTAGTCTGCGGCTGGCAGCCAAGCGTCATCCTCTTGTAAAAGCAGTGGTGAAGGATTTCAGGCTCACTGACTGGCAGCGCATAGTTCACCACGTCGCCTGGCAAGAGTCGAAGACTTCTGAAGTATGCTTGTGACATGCAAGCTGTTCCTGTACAAGCACCTCTCTCATTCAACATCGCGGGTAGCACAGTGTAGATTTGATTTGGAGCAATACAGCTGTGACGCAGGCCTTGAACATGGTCATCTCCTCCAACATATGAAGGCCAAATAAGGAAGAGCAGCAACAGCCGCATGATGCACGGCAAAGACTTGATGCTGAAATTTCGGGGTCGGGGACCTCATGGCCGTGGGGGACTGAGCCCTGCAACTGACAGCGCTTGTTTCAATGCTTAGGGTTCTGCGAATGACATCAGGAGAAACTAGCAGTTTCAGTACTTGGCTTTAGTTAATGACACCTTCGGAGTTCCGCATTTTCGTCTGAGTGATGAACTTAGGCAAAACATGTCTGCAGAAGCGCTTGATAGTAGTTGCTTCTGGTGGTGCGGTGCTCTGTGAGCCAACTGCGGGACATGCATTGCTTGTCTGCGACTTTCTTCCAACCGATCCTACCCTGTATGAAAGAGTAAGCACACTAGACCGCCCATGTAAAGGTACATAGCGTTCTGGTTCTGCGTCTGCTTGGATAGAAAAAAAAAGGTGCGCTTCAGCTGCCAGTCGCCATGTCCTCGCCCTCAAGATGCAATGCCAAATGAGGAATTGCAGCCTGAACCGGCGTAGCATCTGCGTGATCTCACATGGCAAGGCAGCTGCTGCATGCAATCCGAACAATGACTCACATTATCTCAGGAGCCCTTTCTCAAGAATTCGTTTTGGATATCCGTCTGCCTGGGTGCCTGGAACCAGAACTTGGAACCCTCAAAGGCCTGTCGGGCATGTGCGGACTCGTCTTGACCTCCGGGCTTGCTTTTGGATGTTTAGGTCCTTCGGTTTTACAACTTTCCACAAGCCTGCTTAGTGTCAAGCTTTACATGTGCAGTCAAGTGACAAATCACGTCATGCAGTACCTTCGTAGGTAGCGGTGTTGCACCTAGCAGTCGTTGAGTGATGATACTTGAAACTTTGTTGCATCAAGCTTTCGTGAGACCGTGCACCTAGACCAAAGCACTATGTAAGTGATGTTGTGAAATGGCAGGTCTCTGCTAGTCTGATCAAGTGCATCGGCACCTGAGATATCTGCTGCGTTGTGCAAGGCGCGCAGCGCACTGGCTCTCCTCGAGTTGGCGTTGTCTTAGTGGTGGCTGGGGAAGTCTGTTTCAAACATGGACAAGTTGACACTTATGGTGCTCGAGGCTAGTTTCATGCAGGGCAACAGTCTTCCGCGGCTCAGTGCTGGTTTCTGTTGCGTCCAAGTCTCAGAAGTGCTCGAGGGGACCTGTCCGGGTTGATGGCTGAAGCAACCCGAGAAAGACCAGCTACGCAAGCTTCAAGACCTTTTAAATTGCTTGATCCTATGCTGACCTGAAGACCTGTCCAGAAGCACTATATACGTATACAATCCCTTTTATCCCTACAGTTTTCACTGTCTTTTCCAGTATCCCAATACAACCCCTATATACCTATGTAATTTTACTGGTGACAGAGCCTAACAGCTTTGACTTTTTCCGCCTGGAGGGTCGGTGCACAACGTGTGCTTTGAACTACCGCAGCAGCATTAGCTGCGGCTTGTCCTAAACATAGGGATGCCTGCAGAAGATGTAAGCCGAAGTTTTTAACAGACCATGAATCTGAAGCATGAAGTTTCATCTTCTGCGGGAGTGGAATGGATTGTCTGGTGGCGAGGCCACCAGGAAGCAAGAAAACTGGCTTCAGGGCCATAACATGCCCGTCCAAAGAGTATTGAAGATTGTGTATCTTCTTCTCCATGCAATTTGAATTTGCCACTGGGACTCTGTGCAAGTCGCATCTGCGTCCCGGCAGCTTCACAATCTGCCCTGGTCCGCCATCCCCCATGATTTCGGTATCACACGGCCAGGAACAGGATCTGGAGTTGAACGTTTGCAAAGCTGTACACTGGCCTGCATCGAAAGGATTAGGTGCACTTATGTGGCACGAAAGATGGATTGCGCTGCAAGGCCAGCAAGGTTTATCTCCAGTATGCCGAAGATGTATAATAGATATAGAAATAGATTCAAGTATCTGATCAGCAGAGGGTTTCTGCTGCAGGAGTGAGCACGATGCTCTGCTCCAGCTCTGGAACGCAGGCTGTCCCTTCCTCATCCAGGCTGACCCGCATGCGGGCAATTTCTGCGTTCTGGTGGAAGACCCTCACACCTCCTTCATGAGCTGTACTCGAGAGGGTCTTGAGTCCACAAAGGCTATCGCAAGCGGCAGCTAGCACCGTAGCCCGGAGATCGCACGGGCTGAGGTTCTCCAAATTGTTGGGCGTTTGCACGTCCACATCACCGACAACTGGCAGACTGAGAATCCAGCGCTCGGCTTCTGTTCTCTGTTCACCTTGCTGGGATGGGCATGAGACTATCCATGCACTGATAAAACAAGCCAAGCACCTTCTCGCGCCGCGAAGAGAGTGCCCTCCGGTTCCGGCTCGGCACTATCCGCCTCGCTCACACTCGCGCTGGTCTGCGTCTTCGGTGTGCGCGTAGCGTCGGTATCCTGCATAAACGCCAAGATGTGTTAATGGAAGCAAACTTGCAGCTGATGCCCAAGAGCCAAGGTCAAAATCCAGAATCATGCCGCTCATGTAGATGCTCAGCAACGTATTGCTCAGCAAGTCCTCATCTAGCTTGTTGAGGAAGCTGAAAATGCGCTCCGGGAACTTGCCATGCAATATGCCGCAAGGAATACCCGCGCAGTGGGCAGTCCGGGCCGCCGCAACCTGCCACAAAGCACCCACATGTTTCTGATCGCTCCGACTTGTAAGCTCCTTCTTCAACAATTGTACAACATGGCACTGGTGGTTGGTGTCTGAAACGCAATCTTCTATGCACAAGCTTTGGCTGCTAGCATGCTGCCTCTACTGCCAGGCCCAAGGATTCAGGCCGCTGGTATCACTGAAGTAGTGGCGGCGATAGCAAATGTTTCTTGTTGCAAATGTAGGATTACACTACCACTTGAGGAGGCTGGCTGCTGTCAGTACCTTGGTGGACATGCCGCCAGTTCCCAAGGCGGAGCCGGCTTCGCGGGTGTCCACCTCCAGCTCGAAGGCCTCACAGTTTCTACAGCTTCAGCTACGCAGCTCGGCTCTTCAGGAGGCTTGGTCACTTGTGAGTCGCTTGGCCCAGAGCACCAAAATCAACAGCCCATGCGCCATTGCCTCGTTGACCACTCGCATAGGCTCAGCAGTTGGGTCGACATTGGGGTTCGCCTTGGCCCAAGATGCAAGCGGATCCAAAAGAGATCTTTTCCGCTTGCCTCAAACTAGTTTTGTGGTGACATCTAGGAGCAGTGACTGCACCAGCGCGATGTATTCATGACAACTTAATGGCACGTTTTGCAAGCAACTGGGAGCAATTACTCGGTGAGCGCTGACTCGCATGTGTTACTCCAGTGGCGCCCCTCCTTGGGTCCGCGCTGTGTAGAGATAGTCCACGTCAGTGAACAGGAACACGCCCGCAGCACCCAGCTGCACCGCAGTAAGGGCCGCGAGGTTGTCGTTGTCGCCAAAGCGCATACCATCTGTGTTGGTGGTATCATTCTCGTTGATAATGGGAATCACGCCAGCTTCCACACATGCAGCGATTGTGTCGCGGATTTCCGCCCAGCGCTGCTGCTCCAGAAAATCTCGCTGACCTTTTATCGAAACTCTAGACCCGAAATGCAAGCTGGTCTACGCAAAACCCATGCGGGTGACTGAAGCCTGGTCTCATGTGCTAGTAACCGTTAGTGAGCTGCGCCCGCAGTCAAGCTGCTCACCAAAAGCTGGGCGATCTTGAGCCCAACGGTCTCGAACAGCTCAGAATACCTTAGACGCTGGTTTTGGCCGGGTGATTATGTTTGAAGAGGGGTTGTGGGAGTCAAGCATGCTAGCTACAGTCTAGCTACTGCATGCTACTGCTTAAGCACGGATGTTACATGTCACAGCATGTGTCACATCCCGTCAAACAGATTCAAAAAGCAAGGCTTCTTCAACCCAGTGCACACTCTCATGATGCGGCTCTGGCCAACCCCGGCAACAGCTCGTTTCAGCGCCGGTGTGGTGGGCTTTTTCTTCCTTGGCATGCTTTCAGGATGTGAGCTACAGGCAAGAGAATCCTGAAACTGAAATTCTACCCAGTGTCAATCCTAACTCGCGGCAGCCCATCCCGACTGCTCCAGAAGAGATAAGGACGACCTCTGCAAAGCATGGAGCTCATCAGCTTCTATCAGCTTCTGCAGAGCGCAAGATGTCTATCAGTAATCAAGCTTTGTGAAACAAAGACATTTGTCGAAGCTTCCGTACTTCTTGTCGCAACAATACAGAAAGCCCTTTGTTCTCTTGTACATATCCAAGCCTTGAATCCTTTGTAGGAGAGGTCGGCGATGACTTCGACCAACCTCGCAGGCCCATGTCTTGTCAACATCACCCTAGGCCACAACCCTCTTGAAATCTCGCGATCTGAAGCTGCATCCCCAACCCCAACGCACTATAACGCACTCTGCCTTGAGAGGTTGGCAACGTTCACTCGTTGCCCTCGCTCATCAGAAGTCATTATCGTTGAAGTTCCGACCTTCAGCCTAAGTCTTTGGAGCTCAGCTGTTCGGATCAAGCTTTGAGGATTGCTTGTCTGCATGTATTTTGACCTGTCTAAAACAAGCTGGTATACCATCTGCAGCTTGCCTTCCTCTCCTGCCTGTCTCCCCACGTCTTACAGCAAGCATGCGCAGGCAAAAACAGGATTGAAGGCACAAGTAATCCAGCCCAGGCAGCACGAGAGTTTGGGATGCAGCCGACATCATGTCAAGAGTAAAAAGGCAGCAAAGACCAGCCTTCTCAAGATTTGCTTCTACGACCCTCTGTTTCAGACTTGGGCCGAATTCCGCAGGCCAACGAAAACAAGTATGGGAGCAGATCTGCTGATGTTTTGCTTGTTTGCAGCATCAAGTGTACCATGGCTGATGTCATGCATGGCTTGCAAGACTGTGCACAGAGGCACTGCGCGCCTCAGCTGTGCAAGCAATGCGCGGCGTGTACGGCCTGCACTTGGATTTGGTGAGCTGCATTGCGCTTTCTCCCGCCAGAGCTTCTGACACATGCCACTTGAGTCATTGCCTCTGATGCTGCTACTCTGAGAGCAGGTGTTCGGCGGGTCTTATCGCCCATGGTGAAGGGGATTCTGCTAGAATGGCAGAAGCAAACAAATTGCAGGCATTATGCCGCTTGGCATTGTATGCTGACACCGCTGGGATAACCCAATGAGTCAGAGTCAGTCAAGGTTATAGATACCATTCTGGTAATTCTGGAAATGAGGATAATAGGCTTAGCAAAACTTGCCAAATGTAAATCTTGCCTTATGCTGACTCAGTGAGCCATTTGATGGTCCTCCAGGGCTTCGGTTCTTTGCGGTTGCCTTGACACCTCTGCATCCCCAAACGCGCATAGAATCCCCTCCAGAAAACCGATGCCTAACATCTCCCCAAGGTCTCCACGAGTTTGGCCTTGTACAGCTGCAGTCGAAACTGCCAATGCAAGGCGGAGCGGCTGCAGCAGCCGCGTAGTGCTTGCAACTTGCAGAGCCTGCGGACTTGCAAGAATTTGCCATCGGGACTCTTCCACAGGCTCGTTCTGGGCACGCTGAATGTAGCTGCTCTTCAACGCTGCGACAGTCACTCTTGTAGCGTCTTTTGTTCAGAAATTCTGAGGTGCAACCTGCCTCGTGGTTGCGCTTCCAGCCACCAGGTCCTGGCATCGCAGCTTGTGAGCTTGATTGGGATTCAACAGATTTGGAAGTACGGGCCTGAAGCATACTTCCGAAGGGCATCATGGACTTCTTTTGACCTGGGGTACAGCGGTGCCCGGAAGAACATTCAGAGGCTGAGCTCCGAAATCCTGACTGAGCAATTTCCGCCATGCGATGTGTAGGAGCCCTGCTGGTCATCTCCACCCTGGCAAGGGTTTAGTGACAACGCGCTGTGTCCAAGAAAGTCTGGCCAAGTCTTGCAAGTGTTCAGGGGTCTCCAAACGTATGGAAAGCTATTTGTTCTGAACAGCGAGCCTTTACAAAAACGTATAACAATGTGCTAAGGAACGCATTATGAGAGCCAAGCCCAATGTAGAGTCTTGTCGGGTGCTCAACAGACCGCCGGAGCCTCACAGAGAAGTGTTCGAAAGGCTGCGCTGACGGGGTCCACCTGACAAAGCTGCCAACCAGCTGCTTCGTTGCCGACACCATCAAGCACTGCTTCTCTGGCACGCACGGGCGCAAGAAGCGCAACGAAGAATCGCAACATGGATGGAGACTTGCCAGGTGGTTTGCAGCCTACTCTGCAGGGAACTTGTACCCGCGTTATCCAGGACATCAGGCCTCTGCAGAAGGCCATTCCTCCCAGGCCTCCAAGGCCAGGAAACCTTGACCAAGTCTCAGCAATCATTACTTTTGAGGCGCCCTTGGAATTCTTAGGGGCCGGGCGTGCCACTGCTCCGCCGCGGGGTGTTGGCACCGCAGCAAGCTGATGCCTGGGAAGAGCAAAGCTCCAAGCCCCTCTTTTGGCGAAGCCACAAAGTCCATGCAAGCTGAAGCAAGCGGCTGCTCTTTCAAATGGAAGGAAGCCCAACCCAAGAGGCAGTTGTCGCAGGTATCCTTGGATCAGGGTCGCAAGGTGTAAACCTCTAACGTTCATGTCACCGGTCGCAACATCCTTGCAATTTCTAAAAATCAGATATCTCTCTCTGGCAAAACGCAAGAGAAGGATCGACTTACATTCCGAGGCACTGGATGGAGCTCCGCACCATGTTTGAGGCTGCCAAGGGGACAGCTGTGAAATTCTTTCGCGCCAGCCTGGTTTGCCAGCGCTTGCCGCACAGTGCAGTCCAACTCAATTCCAACCTAAACCTCAGAAGTGGTAGACCTTGAGCTCACAGCTTTTGTTGAACAGCCAAGCCAGATCAGAAGATTCCACGATTCCACCCCTTTTACATAGTTTGCAGGCCTTGCATCCAGGGCAATTCTGGATGGCATCGACGCACGCAGCACACATTTGTGGAGAAGACTCCTGCATGAGCGGGTTAGGGAGACCGCTGGGAGGCGGGAGGTCTTGCTCTGAACCGATGTCAAGTTATGTCAAACTGGCAAGTTGTGCAGCAGGCCTCTTGGCTTTTGGCCAGGGTCTTCAGCATCCGCCCTAAGAGCTTGACACAAAGAACCTGCCGGAGAGTGGGGTAGACGGAATCAAGCTCCGCAACAGTCTGTGACGTGGACCGGAGGCTTCAAATCGAGGCCAGGCTGCAGGCATTGCACTTAGGATTTGACCTTGGCATCACCAGCGCCGCGTGACCTGCTACCAAGGCGAACCAGCCACTGCAAGCATTGGGTCATGCTGACGTTTTACTTCTCCATCCAGTTCGGCCATGATATCGCACGCACACCAGAAAAGTAAGGCCTCAGGACCGCAGAGGCAACACCCTCGATGGCGCTGCGGAGAATCGGTGCTGAGGTAACGGTGACCTGGAAATATTGGCTGCCCGGACCAGATCTGTCTCACGTGCCTATGAAACGTTGTAGCGTGCAATTGCTAGCCTTGAATATTCTCAAGGCCGGTAAAACACAGAGTGCGCCTCTAGCGACGAGGAGGAAATCTCGGCAACCACTTCTTCAACGAAAGTCCTCATAGGGTATGGGGCATCTGAGGTAATTGGTTGGCTCCTTGCGTAGTTTCTCCACAAGCCACATGCAGAGGCCACAAGAAAGGGCAGATCTCACTAATTCTCAAGGCATGCTGGCGCAATCACGAGACCGACCAGGTGTCAGGTAACTCTGCTTCTGTACTCTGCGTCTACTTCTCCATAGCACTTCAAATATCTTTCCGTGCGCCAGTCATGGTGTGCATAGGGACATGGTGCTCTCTTGGCCTCATCGCCGTGTCTGCCGCACTCTTCAGAGCAACCTGCAGGGCAATGAGTTGAAGCATTGAAGCTTGTACTCGCTCTGAGCACTTACCGGACAACCGCAACCAACTGTCAGGAAGCGCCTCCGATCACGATGGGAGTTTCAAATTTCTTTGATGTAGTTGGCCTACATCCCTTTTCAGCAGGGTCCGTGGGTTAACTAGTTGCTTTGCTCAGACGTTTGCCACTGCAGGGATTTTGCACAAAGAATCAGATCATATCAGATCAGATCGAGGGGTTGGCTAATCAGGTTGCATGCCAATGTCTCTTAAAGTCTCAGGTCTTAGGTGCCCACATTCATCCCTGACTCTGGACCTGCACCAGCGCCAGTGCAGCCAGGCGAGCGCCACAGGCAGCGGCAGAGGCAGAAGCGGGGGCCGCAGCGAGAGCAGCTATGACCTGCATAGGAGAACAGCGAGACCTCCAAAGCTTAATCTCAATCCGAAGAATGTGCAGTAAAGGCCGACGTCCTTGTGAATGCACATTTGCCCACACAATTCTGCCTAATGGAACTGAAAGCCCTCAAAGTGGTGAAGTCCATTCAGCTTGCCTGGAGAAGTGCTGAAGCAACCGCTGGAGCCACCATCTTTTGCACCTGGGCCTGCGGGATCTCTGCCGGAGGACCCACTTCTCACAAAACATGCAACAGTGGACCTTGTTTTGCCCTTGAAGTGGGGCGCCCTCATCGCTACAAGCAAGCCCCTGCTGCACCCAGCCTTCTCGGCTAAGGCCTTGCAATGCTGCTTCACTGCGTCCAGGAAAAGCTGGAAGTTGTCCATCCTTTCAACTATGGGCGGATTACAGAAAGACTTCCTTGGCAAACAGAGGTACTGGAAGAGAGATTGCAGCTGAACTGTTGGACACAAACACTTAGCATTAAAAGTCATGTGCAATTCTTGGCCACCTGCATCTAACAAAACATGCTTTGTGGTGACAGTCCTGTGGGTATCGAAAGTTGGAGCAACCTTGAACTGCGGACAGCGAGCGAGCATGTCATGTCTTCAAAGAAAGTTGCAGCACACGACCATCAGACCTCACTGACTCTAAGCCCTCGACTCACTGTCAGGAATGAGGCGGGGCTTTGAACTGTTTTTTTTGCAAAGCGCGAGGCATGCAACCACAAACACCGTCTCAGCCTCGCGCAGCCACAGCAGTGGCCAATAATCGTGATGATGCCTCCGCAAGGCCACCACTGTGCTCCATTTGAAGGACTGTGCACCATATTGCAGCTCTTTCGGAGTGCTTTAGGGGTGCAAATCGCAGAGGTACTGGTAGGATCTTACGAATGAGCGAGAATCATCGTGCCGGTAGGCTTAACTTGGCAGAGAGCCTCCGCAGTCATCGGAGCACTCTGCATCAAGCCGTGGACCTATGCTGCGTGCATCCAAGCTTCCAGCCAGAAAACCGCAGGTTCGGGAGTATGCCACTTAGGATGGGGCTTTTCTCGTTGATCTTCTGAACTTTTTAAAGCAAACATATGCACTCAAAAGCCCACACTCACCAGCTATGTTAGATGTGTCTGCTTTGCAACTTGCTTTGAGGCTTTCCTGAGGCAAGCGCAAAGGTCTCCGATGCCATTGCTGCCACCCTCCTGACATAGTGCAATGGCTTACTTCTCTCATCAGATCCAGGGCTAACGGATTTGGTCCATGAGACTGCTCAAGAAAATTTTGCTCCTTAGCTTCTCCGCGTCCAGAGCACGCTTTGCAGCCAATGTGCGCAGAGAAGAGAGAACCTGGCAAACCGTGATTGTGCTGGCTTGCACGAGCTACCTGCCTCCGTGCAGCATCCGGAAATTATGAACCCTGCCTTGAACACTGAGGAGTTCAAACCCGGTGCCTGAGAGTTCAACACAGCACATATCAATCCAGAAATAATGCAGAGGTAAAAGGAACCAACGTCGCATCACCTATAAGCGATGCCTGATGATGACGCAGAAGAAAGAGGAGAAGTACTAGCTGCAGTCGCAACACTAGTAACAGCAAAAGCAATAGCAGTAGAATTCGCATTTGCATAAGTATTACTACAGTTATTAGTAGTAGTAGTAGTAGCAGCATGATTTTCATTAGTAGTAGTAATAGTGGTAGCAGTGGTAGCAGTAGTAGTAGTAGTAGTAGTAGTAGTAGTAGGCGCCCCCCCCCCCCCTACCAACTATGTTGGTTGATATTTCCACTACCAGAGCTTTGGGGGGAGGGGGGAGGGGGGGGAGGGGG